TGTGTCCCAGGAGAGGCTTTTTCTGGGCACTGGGTGGAACAAGTTGGGGGTGGCAGGAGCCAGCGTGGGGGAAGCGATCCGAGGAGCCACTGGTTTTGCGCTGCCTCCTGCTAATTGCTCCAGCTAATGAACCCACACGCCCATCTTGGTGATTTTCCACAGGGTTTCCATCCACCCTCGGCTGCCGTCCACAACTCTGGAAAGACGCGGCCGATCGATCACGAGATTCCGGGGTGGAAAAGGAGGGGAAACAGCCCTGAAGGGGCTGTAAGAAACCCCTCAGCCCCAGAGCAGGAGAAGGGGACCCAGATCCGAGGGTGACAAGCAGCCAGGAGGAGGAATTCCCAGCTATCCAGACCCGGGCGCGCAGTGTTGGTTCAACACAGACGCAGCTGGAGAGGAGCTGTACCTGCCCTCCCACGGGATCCAGTCCCCAGGGAGTTTGTCTCCTGGCTCTCAGGGATGGTTCCTCCTGCTAAAACGCCCCAGGAGAGCCCGAGCCACCTCTCCCATCCCGTCTCCAGGTCCCCCACACCAGCGCCACAAGGTGCCAGGTTGTTAAGCAGTTCAACCTCCCCTTTCATCCCCAGCGCGGTTCTGGAAGGTTTAAATAGAAAGATATCAAAATAAAAGATAATTGTTGAGAAAGATGAATAGGGGGGAGGAGAAAAAAAAACATCAGCACGGAGGAACTCTTGTCTAATTTCTCACCCACGCAGAGCACAACGATATTAGTGCCTTCAACTCTGGTTTGTAAAAGCTTTCATGGCTTTATTACCAGCTCCCCGAACAGCTTGTCCTTTTAATAAGCCAAGGCCTCCAGATAGCAGATCTGCCCATGGGAGATCCCATCAGGACGTGGTTAATCCAGGCAGAAATAGCACAGAGCATCCTCACACTCACCTGACGAAGGAAGCCCCCGTCTGAGGCAGGAAAAGGTTAAAAAACACCCCAAAAGGCGGGTGGAGGGGGGGAGGGAGGGAGAGGGGAACCTCCTCGGTGGCGCTGCTGGGTGTCCCGGCCTTCCCCCGGCAGCCCCGCTCTCCACAGCCGCCGGCTCTGGCCACGGAGGCCTTTAATTATCCAAACTGCTGCCCCTCACGAAATTAAATGCTGCCGAGGATGACTCAGTGTTTAATGGACTGGCTGCTCCTCGCGCCGGGAGAGCCAAGCGGGAGCGCGGCACAACACGGCATCAATCAGGCGGAGACGCCGCGCTCGGGGGGGAGAAGGGACCCAGGCAGCAAACTGCTGGGCTCAGGCCGTGGTGTTTGCACTCAGGACAGGCCCCCACGGGTGAATCCTGCCGGCAGCAGCTCCGGGTGCTGCGGCCAGACCCTCCAGCCAGGCTGGCCGAGAGCCTCGGCCGCTCAGGGTGAGGGGGTTGCGCCGGATCTCGAAACCCCAGGGGCTCCCCGAGCTGCCTGCGCTGCGCTCTCGGGGTTTGGACAGGGTGGTTTCCTCTGGAAGGGTGTCAGCAGTGATCAGGTGTGATTTGAAAGGCAGGCAGGTGCAGGAAGATGCGATGCAAAGCTTGTCTCTGCCTTCTCTCGCCCACCCTGGGAAGGAAACGCTCTCCGGGCCGGCCCAAGCCAGCATGGCAAGCAGCAGCTCTGCTAATGGCCTCGTTAGTCTCACCAAGATGCTGAGGCTTTGCCTTCCAGCGGATAATTAACGCTGTGCTGGCGAATCAGGAAGCCCTGGACCTCTACCAGGATCCGTGTGGGGCTGCTCTTGGTTCAGGGCTGGAGCAAAGCAGCTCCTGGAGGAGCAGCACCTCGATAACAGCAAGTTATCCACTGGCCCTGTTTTCTCCTTGGAAAGTGTTGTCCAGCCCTGGCACAGGGGAGCCACCATCCCTGGAGGGATTTAATAGACATGCAGATGTGACACCTGGGGACGTGGTGGCCTTGGCAGAGCACTTGGACTTGATGATCTTGGAGGTCTTTTCCGACCTGAAGGGTTCTATGGGGATGCAACAGTCCCTAAGGCTGGAGCTGCCCCACCAGCACTTGTAAAAAAGTTCAAATAAAGCCCCAGGGTGCCTCATTTGAATACAATTTACTGTTGCTAATGATGCTAATGGTTATTTCCCCAAGCTAGGAAATATTTGGCCCCAAAACGGGCTCCTGGATGCAATTTCAGCCGAGCAATCTGTAATGCCGGAGCTGATGGAAGCAATTTGCAACCCATTAGCAGAGATCGGCTGTGAAGATATTTCACACATCACTCAGCCCAGGTTGGGGATGGAATTTTTTCCCCCTTCCTCAGAATTTTTTGGCGTGGATAGGGTGGCAGAGGGGGCTGTGGGGCCAGACACCACTCCAGCCTTGAAAACCCTCAACATTAAGGGTGAGAGCTGGGCCAGGTTCCCAGCACGGGGTGAGCACAGCCCGGGCCTCCACATGAGCAGTGAACACCCTGTGGCCACAGCAGCTTTGCCACGTGCCACACTGGTGACCTCTTCATTAAATATCACACCCTAAATGCACAAATAAAGCCTTGGGTGGCAGGGCCAGTCACCCCCTGGTGCTCCAGGACAGGACACAGCGGTGCCCAAGCATCTCCAGCACCCTCAGGACTTGATAGACCCTTCTGAATTAAATTGCCTTCTGGACAGCGGTGGGTGCAGATAAAGAAGCAATTTGCAGGCCAGGGCTGCCTCCACGGAGGGAGCAACAGCAGGGCACAGTCCCAAAAAAGCAGGGAAAATCATCTCTTCCCCAGTCCTTGCAAACCCAGCCTTGCCCTGGGGATGCTCTTCCAAGAAGCAGGACGGGAGCTGGTTTCGGTAACTGGGGTGTGGTGGAGCGGGGACAAAACGCTGCTGGGAAGGTGAGAAAGGAGCCCCAGGGCTTGAGTTTTCCCTTGGCCCAAGCTCCCGAGGCTCCCTGGTGCCTGCCTGTCTGCTGGAGCCCGCCGGGAGCCTCAGCTCTGCAGCACCTTCCCTTAATTACTTTTTTCACGCTAATTGGATCTGAGGGGAGCCCTGAGTGCTGAATCCGTGCTTGTGAGCACCCGTTCTGTACAGCAGGATTCACCCACGGCCACACACCCCACACCCACCACAGGGGTCCCAGCCCACTCCCCCTTCAGTGTCCTGCTGCTCCCAGTTCTCACCTGGAGCCAACTGTTACCTCCTCACCCATCCCACGGCCCTCAGCTGGTTCCGCTGCCTCTCCCGGCAGGAATTAACACAACCCTCACGTGGTTTCCCCAAAAAATAACGCGGAAATGCTCCCAGTCCCCACGCTCCACTCGACTCCAAGGATGCAGCTGCTTTCTCCCTGGCCGGGGGCCAGAGGCAGGGAAGTTTCCTCCGGCCTCTCGCCTCCTCCCCGGCGCCTGCAGGAAAGAATCCTGGCGTTTCGGGGCCCCAGCAGCTCCCTGAGACCCCCAGGAAACACGTCCTCCCTCCAAGGTGGCTCAGGGATGCAGAAGAGCCTCTTCCCTGGGGTTTCCTGTGCGCTGGAAATCAAGGACTCACAAGAACATCCACGTGCATCCATCCGCTCGGGCCTGAAACCCCATCCCTCCCTGTGCCCAGCCTGCGCTGCCGGTGGATTTACTGTCAATAAAACCGCTGCAGAGAGTGACTCCTCATCTGGAAGAAGAGAAGGAGGGGGGAACAACCCCTTTCTAAATGTCCTTATCCCTTATCCCGGCAGCACATCCCTCTCCAGGCTCCGTCGGGAGCGCTGATGGAGGGACAGCTCTGGGCAGGCCGGGCAAGGAGCGGTGCTGGAGCGACTGCAGAGCGGGGTGGGAAGGCAAAGGCAGAGCTGGTGCCAACTGGAAAGGCTCACTCCACTCTCCCGACCTCGCAGCCACGTCCCCGAGCACTGGCAGGGTCGTCCCTGTGTCCAGCGAGGGGGGGGTTGTCCCTGTTTTCCATCTCTATCCCCCCTGGATATCCCTGAGCAGGTCCCACTGCAAAACCCTGGGTTCCTGCTCAGGCAAGGGAGAGAGGATGCTCCAGAAAAGGACCCAACCGAGCGTGTCCAAGCCCTGAGTGGGGACAGGGTGCGTGTGCCTGACCCTGCCGTGTCCCAGACTGCCAGCGCTCCTGCTCGCCGCGGTTCAGGCGGGGACAGCGCGCTGGGAAGGCACCTCTGGGCAGGGACACAGCTTGCCATGACAACCCTGGGGTCTGGCTGTCCCTTCCCAACATCACTCTGGTGAAGGACGTCGAAACATCCTTTTCCATCTGACTGCAGCCACCTCACTGGGAGCGGTGGGCGGGCGCCTCTGCCACTGCTGGGGGCTGTGACGGGGTCTGGGCTCGGGTGAGGAGGGCACCCCGCTCCCCGGGGCAGTCACGGGGTGCAGCTGGAGGGGGGAGAAGGGTGGGAGATGTGCTGGCACCGGGGGGAAGCTGGGCAGGGCTGTGCAACCTCTGCCCCGGGGAGGAGCAGAGCACCCTGCACCCAGCGCCTCCCGCCCCGGGAGCGCCCCAGGGAACATGGAATGAGGATGCTGGGAGAGGGGAGGCACATCCTGAGTGGGGCAGGAGCCCAGAGCCCCCGGGAGGGTCTGTCCCTGTCGTGACAGGCATCGTGACAGAGACCACACCAGCAGAGCAGGGCTGAGCACAGCGAGGCACCCCGAGCAGGTGGCCAGAAAGGGCTGGAAGGTGCCCGCCATCCACCCCCTCCCAAAAAGGACCAACCCGAGGGTGTCCAGGGACCTGCCCCAGGGCTGGGGTCACCACGGGTGAAGCCTGGAGGGCAGGAGAGGCCGTGGCCTGGGAGAGACGGGTCAGGGCCGCATGGGGGGGCCGGGAGGGGCTCCGGCAGAGCGAGGAGCCGGAGCATCACTGGCAGGCGCTGGGGGATGGGATCGGCACACGCACACACACACATTACCCACATGCACACGGCAGCAGCACCAACAGCCCCTGCCAGAGCCTGCAATCGCTGGAGCGCCCCGCTCCTGCGCCTCTCCCTCCTCCTCCTCCTCCTTCTCCTCCTCCTCCTCCTCCACCTCCTCCTTCTCCTCCTCCTCCTCCTCGCTGCCCACCGGCCTGCGGCACCTCTCCGCGGCCTCCGGCCCCACCAGCGCACAGACAATGACTTCATGCGGATTATGCATCTGAAGAAATCACCAGCTCCCAGATAGCCACAGGGGGAGGTATCCATGTGTTTGGCAGGGAAGCAGCCTCCTGCTCGCCTCCCTTCTCCTCCTCTCCTCTCCTCGCACCCGGCAGCTGCCTCCTCTCCGGCGATGGTCGCCCGCGGTCCCCCCGCGCGGTGCTGAGCGAGGGCCCCGGCGCATCCCCCGCTCCCACGCTTGCACCAAGGTACCGCCGAGGCTATTTTTATTCCCCACCACCACCCCCCGGGCTTCTTTTCCGGTTCACCCGCCGCTGCCGGGCTCGGTGCCTCGGCACCCTCCGTGCCCGCACGTCTCCCGCTCCCCGTTTTTCCCAGCCGGCGGCGAGAGGCTCATCCCAAATCCCGGCCCCCCCCCATCGCAGCGGCAGCGCAGCCAGCCCAGCTCCGGCCACGGCCGCCGGCCCCGCTCCCAGGTTTGCAGCCCCCGATTCCTTCATCGTGTTTGTCGATGCGACGGTGCCATTTGGGGGAGGCGGAGGGGGAGCGGGGAGAGGGGCGCTGTGGGGGGGTTGGGTGAGGGTGGGAGATGAGGTGGGGGCTGGAGGGCTGCCCGGTCCTGCCGTGGGATGGGGAGGGCAGAGAGGAGGTGGGATGGGAGGGGGGAGTGCAAGAGGCTGCATGCAAATAAATACATATACACGTATGTGTGTGTGTGTTTCTCTGTGTCTGCGTGGGCTGGGGGGGCAGAGCAGGGCACGGCAAAGCGTTGCCCCACGCGGGGGTTGCCCCCCTGCCCCGGGGAGGGGGAGGGTGCCGTGGGCTGGGGACGAGGCCGCCGCGACCCCACCGAGCACCCACGGGGCTCCCTTTCCCGGCAGAGTGGCCACCCCGGGGCGCTGGCACGGACCATGATGGACCTGAAAGTGGACGAGGAGGAGGTGGACAGCGGGCAACCGGTGAGCATCCAGGCCTTCGCCAGCAGCTCCACCCTGCACGGGCTCTCGCACATCTTCTCGTACGAGCGGCTCTCGCTGAAGCGCGTGGTGTGGGCGCTCTGCTTCCTGGGCTCCCTGGCCCTGCTCGCCCTGGTCTGCACCAACCGCATCCAGTACTATTTCCTGTACCCCCACGTCACCAAGCTGGACGAGGTGGCGGCCACCAGGCTCACCTTCCCCGCCGTCACCTTCTGCAACCTCAACGAGTTCCGCTTCAGCCGCGTGACCAAGAACGACCTGTACCACGCCGGGGAGCTGCTGGCCCTGCTCAACAACAGGTGGGTGCCGCTGCTGGGAGGTGACAGGGCAGGCAGGTCACACCACACGTGGCCCCAGCCACCACCACACCGGGCCAGTCCCACTCTGTCCCCAGGGTGCAGCACGTGCAGCAGGGCCAGGGCCATCCTGGGATGCCTCTGGGGGATGATCCATCACACCCGGCTGCAGCACCACGGCCTGGGTGCCATCACACCTGGCTCCAGCGCCATGCCTGGGTGTCTGGCACGTGCAGCGAGGCTGGGGATGGCAGCTGGTGAAGCCACCGAGCATCACCCACGCCCTGGGAGGGGAGACTGGTGCCATTCCCCGGGGTTCTGTGGGGGAAGAGTTCAGGAGAGCCCCTCACCCACCCTCCCCAGCCTGTCCCCATGGCTGTAGTGGCTGCCAAGCCGCTGCCACGAGCCTGGTGCCCACAGCAAGGTGCACTCCTTGCCTGTGCTGATGCCAAGGGGCTTCACTGCTGCCCCCACTCGTGCCCCAGGGAGGGGTTTGCAGCCATCACACCAGGGATGAGACCCTGCACACTCAGCACGTGTCACGCCTCCCCAGGATGCCACCAAAGGGCAGGTGGCTGCGTGGCCTCAGCCAGGGCTGGTGCTGCAGGACCAGCTCTGGGGCAGGTGGGATGGGTTTGGAACGTGGTCACTGCCCAGCTTCTCCTCCTGTCACCTCTCACGTGCCCCCCGGGCCACTTTGTGCTGCTGAGTGCTCCGGGAATGCCACGTACAAAGTGGGACTGTGCCGAGTCCACGCCGGAGTCGGGGCAGACGCAGCTCCGGCGAATCCCAGACGGCTTTTGCCAGCGGGAGCCGCCGCCCCAGCCAGGCCTGAGCCTCCCCCCCGCTCTCTCCCCCAAGATACGAGATCCCAGACATCCAGACGGCCGACGAGAAGCAGCTGGAAATCCTGCAGGACAAGGCGAACTTCCGCAACTTCAAGCCCAAACCTTTCAACATGCTGGAGTTTTACGACCGGGCCGGCCACGACATCCGGGAGATGCTGCTGTCCTGCTTCTTCCGCGGGGAGCAGTGCACCCCCGAAGACTTCAAAGTGGTGAGTGCCCCCCCGTGGGCCTTTCCCCCCACGCCAGGAGGGTGTTTGTCCACCTGTAGCCGCTCCTGCCTCCTCCCGGCTGGGAAAGGACCGGCAGCGTCTTCCCTCGCCGGGGTTTGGAGGTCTGGGTTGTCCCCAGCGGCACGTGCTGCTCCGTGTGGCCTCACGGGGTGTTCCCACGTGGGCAGAGCCGCCCGGGATCGCCTGGGCTCCGCAGAGCAGGGCTGTGGGAAGTGCCGTGGGGAGGTTGGAAAAGCGGGGAGAGCGTGGATGGATGGGTGGCTGGCAGGGAGCCGAGGGAGCCCCGCGATCCCTCGGGAACGCAGGTCCCTGGTGGCACAGGCTGTGCCCTGACACAGAGGTTGGTCTGGCCCGGGTGCAGAGCACAATGACGCCTTTATCCCCCTGGCTGCCTCTCCCTGTCCAGCTGGGAACGAGACAGTGCCGGACTCTTTGGGGGCTGCCGTGCCCGCTCCTCTGTGGGTCGTGGTTCGTGGTGTGTCTGCACTGCTCGGGGTCCCCGTCCTCATCACCAGCCCGGGGGTGTCCCACTCGTGTCCCCCGCGCCGAGCACGGCCGGGTGTCCGCGGAGCCGCCGCCGGGTCCCGGCACAATTCGGGTGGTTTGAGCGCCCTGCGTGGAATTCCGCGGTTTTCCCCCCAGGAGCAGGTCCCTCCTGTCGGCCATCAGGCGGTGGATTTGTTAAATGGAGGCAATTCACAGCCCAGAGGGGGCTGGACCCCCTCCAGCAGGGCCAGGGAGCGGGGCCAGCTCCTGCCCGTGCGTGGCCACCGCCTGCTCCCCACCCCGGGCTCTTCCCGAGGCACAGTCGTGTTCCCTGCACTGAAACCCCCCCAGGGACCCTCATCCCAGCTCCCCACCTTCCCCTGCCGGGCTCCAAACCCCTGCCTGGCTCCCAAACCCCTGCCTGGCTCCAAACCCCTTCCTGGCTCCAAACCCCTGCCTCCCGCCTCCCCTCCAGCCGGCAGAAGCCGAACAGGCTCACAGCTGGTTTGTTATTCCTGCCTGGATTATTCCTTGCGAGCAGGTTGGGATGATTTAATGGATTTGATTAGAGAAAGCTGGCTCTGTGCTGCATCTCTGTTGCTCTCTGGATTCCCCTGGCAGCCTGGCACGGGCAGGGCTGGGCCTGGTGGGGCTGGGGTGGTGCTGCCCGTGCACGGGGTCCGCTGCCCCAGAGGCTTTTAGGGGGGTTGTTTGTGAATTCCTGCGGCCTCCCTGCTCCCTCCTCCCAGCTGGGACTGGGCTGAGCCAGGCTTGGGGTTGCCCTGGGCCTGGTGGCACCCCCAGGGTGCCCTCCAAAGCACCCACCCTGGGGGGCTCTGGGCTGGTCTCAGCACCACTGGGCAGCCAGGGAAGGGTCTCCAGCAAGCAGGGCTCATGCTGGGTGTCCTGGGGAAGCCCATCCTGGGATGATCCGGGCTTTTCCAACCCCTCCTCTCATCCTGTGCCGTCACCAGCCATGTCGGGGGGTCCCAGCACTGCTCATCCCCCTCATCTCCAGCCAGGGCTCCCCAACACCCCTGTGCAGGGTGCAGGGATGCTCCACTGGAGCTGACCAGGCTCAGACTCATCCCTCACGGGGGATTGGACCCTCTAAGAAGCCCCAGGGGAAATATGTGCCCACCCCAGCTCTGTCCTGACCCTTCACAGCCCCTCCAGCACCGAGGAGGTGTCTGGTGTCCCCCCAAGCTCCCCTCCTGCAGCCAGGAGGACGCACAGGGGGGTGCAGCGATCTCCACTCCCCAGCCCCAAAATCCCTGCACGGCCTTAGAGCCTGGAGAGGCAAACACGAGGCCGAGGGGCAAGTCCTGACCCCCCTCAGGACACGGCCTGAGATGTCCCTGTGACCAGGACTGTGGCCAGAGCCTCACACCTGCAGGGATGGGGCGGGCAGGGGACAGACACCCAGTTCCCTTCTGTGGGGTGGGACAGGCAGGGACAGGCAGTTCCCCTTCGCAGGGAAGGGGACTCGCCCTCGCCGTCTCCTCCGTGTCGGGGCTGCGCTCCCTGGCCCTCATTAGCAGCACAGATCAGTGTTTCACACTTGCTGCTTCATTATTTATGAGCTGGAGGCCTCTCTCCACTGCGGGCTCCCAGCTTGAGCTTCCCCTCCCTCCTCGCGCCGGGAAGTTCCCCTGGAGCTCATCCCCGTGGATCTGCACCTCACCCAGTGAGGGAAAGGCCCCAGAGCCCCGGCTCTGGACTCCAAACCCCAGGAGTTTTCTCTTCACCCCAGGGAAAGAGGAGAAACCCAGAGGATGAGCTTCCTCTCCCTGCCCTGCTGAGGGGCATTGTGTGAAAAAAGGCTCAGGGAGGTGCCCTGTGCTGGTGAAGCCCCTTTTAGGGGGTCAGTCAGCCAGGTGGGACACGAGCAGCTGTGCCTGGCGTGGCACAATGTGCACCTGCAGCTTTTCCTTCTCACACCCCGTGAGCTCATCCCGTCCCAGCTCCCCTTCCCCGTCCTGCTCCAGGGCACGGGGGCCGAGCCAGAGCCCTGGGGAGCGAGCACGGGACAGCCTGGAGGAGCTGCAGAGGATTGAGACCTCTGGACTGTTTCCATGAGGCTCCAGGGCTGAGCTGGCGCTAGGGAGAATCGAGTTTGACGTGGAGATCGTGTCGCTGCCTTTCGCATTGGATTCTGCATCCTCGGCCCTGGGAATGCCGAGTGCACGGAGGGGGAGCGAGGCAGGGAGCAGGAAGGGTCTGCAGCAGTCCCAGCAAATCCCAACCTCCTCTCCTCCGTCCTCCCATCTCTGGAGCAATGCAGGAGCTGCTGTGATGGAGAATGGATCTGGCAACATGTCACTGTACCCCACAGCGCCCCACTGCTCCCTGCTGAGCCTCCCCACCTCCCTTCTCCCCCTGCTGCGCCTTGGCGAGCCCCACCGGGCACCACCAGCTCCTGCTGCGCCCCTCAGACCCTCCCAAACCCCAGCATGTGCCCCCTGCGCCCCCAAACCCTCCCTGCACCCCCGAGCTCCCTGCTCAGCCCTCCTCGCTCCAGCCGGGGGGTGTTGGGGCTCAGCTCGTGCCCTCCCAGGAACGCCATAACTTCGCTCCCTGAAACAGAACCCCTGAGCCAGAACAGAGCAGACAGAACCCAACCTGCCCCGCTAGTGGGTGCTGGGGTGTCCTGCAGCCCCCGTGGGAGCTCGGAGGGACGGCTGCAGCGCTCGGGCTGCCGCTCTCGGGGTGCCCAAGCGGGGGTGCTGCCGGTGCCCCGCTCTGCCTCGCCCCTCAGCCCCACAGCATGCAGGCCCCAGCCCCCTCTGGGGGACCCCCTATCCAGCCCCCAACCCCCCGTGGCCCCGCACGGCCCCGTGGCTGTCACAGGGCCGGGAGCCCCGTGGCGAGCGGAGCTCCCCTGCGGCGCAGCGTTAGTGGATAATCACGGAGCCGGAGCGAGGAGCATCTCCAACGCAGCTGGAGAGACCAGGCACGGGAATTACTGATACCCAGACATTTCCTGGAGCTTTTGACAGTTAATAAACAAACCGCATGGGTCCATCTGGCTCTGGAAAAACAACTTGGGGACAGCGTGTGGGCGGCAGGGATGGGCCACCGGTCCCGGACAGCGCCGGCCCGCTGTGGGGCCGGTCCCCAGCGCCATTCCAGGATCCAGCCATTCCCTCCACGGTCCCAGAAGGAGCCAGAGCGTTTACAAATTCTGTAAGACAATCCGAGTGATTTATGTAAATCACTTTTTAAAGCTGCACACGGGCTCCTAAATAACTTATAAGCGCTGGAAAGAGCTCGCCCGGATCCGTTCCCTCGGAGCGGGGATTCACCGCGGGCGTCCTCACCTGCATCTCCGGGCTCAGCCCCCACCTGGGGCTCTCTCCACGGCTGAGCAGCAGCAGAGTCTGACCCCAGAGGTTGCGTCATTTTCCAGACGAGCGGAGCGAACCCAGCGGGAGCCGGGGCTGCCCGGGGAGAGCTGATGGGAGGTGACGGAGCAGCGGAGCGGCCGCGCACGGGACCGTTTGCCGGCGGTGACTCGGCTCTCCCGGGGAGGGCAGCGGGTCAGGAGCGCCCCTGTCTCTGTTGTCTCATCCTCAGCTCGGAGGTTTTCGAGGATCACCGTATTTCGCTCGAAGCAAATCATCCGGAAAACAGCCGTGAGCGGCTCGGCCCCGATGCTGGCACTGCTGCCTCCCCGCCCCAGCTTCGCCCAGGGCTTCCCCAGGCACCAGGATTTGGGATCAAAGCAGGGCCTTTGCTCACCCCACACTGATGGGAACGTGGAGGCAGGAACTCCTGCTGGAAGACAGTTGCATCTCCCGTTCCCTCCGCAGCGGGACAGGGACGCTGCGAGGGAGCTGAGCCCACCACGGCCTTGGCCAAATCCAGGGAGAGGAGGGTCAGGAAGAAGCAGGATGAGGGCACCGGTGCTGGGCACGGCACAGCGAGAGGCTGGCACGTGCCTGTGCCTCACCACTGCCTCATTAGAGCCCTGAGCGGCGCAGGTGAATCATCCATCGAACCTCTGAGCCGCGCTGGGATTAGGGAAGGAGGGAGGCACACCCAGAGGGGTCACACACACCCCCTAAAGCTCTGTGCACACCCAGAGGGGTCTCACACACCCCCAAAGCTCTGTGCACACCCAGAGGGGTCACACACACACACACAGAGCTCTGTGCACACCCAGAGGGGTCACACACACCCCCAAAGCTCTGTGCACACCCAGAGGGGTCACACACATGCAGAGAGAGCTCTGTGCATACCCAGAGGTGTCTCTCACACACACACAGAGCTCTGTGCACACCCAGAGGTGTCTCTCACACACACACACAGAGCTCTGTGCACACCCAGAGGGGTCACACACACACACAGAGCTCTTTGCACACCCAGAGGTGTCTCTCACACACACACACAGAGCTCTGTGCACACCCAGAGGGGTCCCGCCCTGCCGGAGGCACCGCGCACACCCGAAGGTGCCACGCCAAGAGCTTGGAGCGGCTCAGCTGCACCTCAGG